GATCGTAACTCCCTCGCTTCACCCTCCTGTGTTCCTTCTGGGCTACTGTAAAAACAGTGTGGTGTACTCCAGAGAAGATGACTAATGGTGCCTTGAGACGTAAACGGCTCATTCCAAGGTAACAAAAACATATAATAACATGAACATACCTATGGATATTATATTCCATTTCTAACCAATAGAGCCTTCTAAACGTTACACACAGGACCTTTACAGGTACTTTATTTGACTGGACGTGACATAAAGCTCCTTGTATTCACTACTTTTTAAGCTTAATGTGCAAGAGGGTTCAACAGCAGACCTCCCTTCTGGCGCCCACAGGATGGTGAGCCAATGGGAAGAGTGTACGGAAGAGTGGAGCGTCATTTTCTTTATAGTGTATAATAATTATTATTAATTGATATTGCAAGTTTCACAGCTACTGTAGTTTGTCCTACATGCCTGGAAGGCTGAGCTGTATTCAAATGGTTGCAATCTGCAACTTCCCTGCTAGATGTTTCTGAATCCTACACACTGTGTATTTAAGATTATTTAGTCATATATGACCCTCACATTCAGAGAGCTTTTACATTCATAATGTTGTATGGTAGTGGAAGAAACAGAAGTGACCCACCTCCCTCCCAGGCACCTCTAATTTTGTTAGCTCTGTTCTGCCTTTTGTGACCACCACATGTGCACTTCCGTGAGAAACTAATAGGTAAACAAAGGTGGTGGAAACACTACTACAAGTTAGAACATCTTAAGCGAGGGCCAGCTACACTCTGCATGCTTCTACAACACCGTGGTAGCAGTTAACAGTGACAAGACAAAGGGACAGAAGTAATACGAAGATGGGGCTAATAACACATTTCTTGCCTCAGGAATTTAACAGTCACAGATTTGAAGCTTTAGTAGAAAGATCAGTGTATTTCTTATCGGTACTGAAATGTTGTGTAGCATTTGTTCATATTATTCTAATGTACATTTAAATTGACCAGAAAGAGAGAGAGAGAGAGAGAGATAGAGAGAGATATGGAGGTAACTCTGCTACCACTCTCTCAGATATTGCCATAACAACAAACCTGCTCCCCCATCTCTCGGAGAAGTGACATTTCACTTTGCCCTGGTTGCTGCTCCCTGCAGTGCTGCTCTGATCCAGCCTATGAGTGTGCGTGCGCGTGTGCATGCATGTGTGTGTTTTTGTCCTCATTAAAGGAGAATAGCGACTGACGGGGTGTGGCCCTGATCACACACGCACACCTTGTCAAACCAGACCTCAGCTGTGTCTGTGTGTTTGAGACCAGAAGAGAGAGTAAGTCATGCTACTATAAGACACACAAACATACACACACACACTTAGAGATTCAGAGTAAGGATTTAATGTAAAAACAAAGATCTGTTATCTTTATGCTACCCGCTATCTTTACGCTTTTGTAATATTGTTATCAGCATCAACGCTAATAAAACACACTTTCTTAATTCAACTGGATTCACTGAAATGTGTGTGTGTGTGCGTGTGTGTGTGTGTGTGGTGGGTCTCTGTCCTCTGTTGAGGACAATTCATATTACGCTTTTGGTAAAAACAACTGAAAAAAATAGGGAGCAAAGGCAAAATAAGAGCCAAAAGATCAAGCAGAATCCTTCTAGGAGACACTAATTGAATTATTTTTTGCATTATTGTTTTTCTTTTTTCTATCTTATTGACACATGACATGCTCGAACAACAGGCCAATGTGAGAATGTGAGTAAAAACCACAAAGGATGTGTATCGAGGTCCTAAGAAAAAAAGGGGAATATATCAGTCCACATTACACAGTACACCTAAAGCGCACACACTTACACACATGTACTATATTGCTGTAAGCAGAGTGACCAGTAGGCCATTGGTCGTGGAGGTTTGTTCAGTTTTGAGGCAGAAGTGTTTGTTTCCCCGTATTAACAGTGGTCCTTTTACTCAGTGGGCTTAAATGCACTTTAACCATCTGATCCCAGCTTTTGGAAGAAACCTGAGTTCAGTAATGTCTGTACAAACTGGATACGTGCCTTCATCAGAGGATGAATAGGAACATGTTTGAACCCTTTGCTGTGCAATGGAAAGTGCTAGCACTGTAGCAGAACAGTTCACTTCTGGTTTCCAAATTTATTCATTTGAGAGTCTGAGAGGAAATTTTAAAAAAGCCTCAACCTGATTGCCCCAACTAACCCAGTGCTAGAGTGGAGCAGGTAGCCATGGAAACACATCCTACACATTTCAGAATCCAGAGGGAGGTACACGTTAGGCACCATGTGCACAACAACAGGAGGAGACATAGAAATCAAACTAAAAAGTAAAATGACTACAACACGAGTAAGATATACAAAAACTAAAGCTGAAATGAGTTGTAAGAGATTTCCTGTGGACTCACCCAGTGAGCACAACCACGAAGTCCATGACGTTCCACCCGTTCCTCAGGTAGGAGCCCTTATGTAACGCAAAACCCAGAGCCAGGATCTTGATCCCTGACTCAAAACAGAAGATGGCTATGAAGTAGGGCTCCGTTTCCTCCTGCAGGGGAGGCAAGGCAGGAGGGGAGAGGAGAGGAGCAGGGGTGGGAGGGGGGTCGAAAGAAGGATGGAAAGAGAGGAAACAGGAGAAGGGATGAAAAAAAAGGAGTAAGAAAGAGAGGAGAAGTGTTGAGAGGAAGGGTGGTGAGAGAAGAAGGCAGATTGTGGGTCATTTTCTGTTCACATGGAGTTTATTTGTACCTAAAGGACAGCAAACACTCAGCATCAGAACGGACAGACCTTTTCACAGCAGCCATTTTAACATGAAATAGTCAGGTAAACACAGGTTTTACCAAATGATACTAATTAAGGTTCTATTCCATTGAGGTAGAACAGAGTTAGGTGCTGCTGGTGTGGCATGTTGGCTCCACTGGAAGGTGCTGGCAACTAAAATGTGAACAGAAACCTTTAATTAGTACGGGCATTGTAACACCCTGTGTTTACTATTTCATGTCAAAATGGCCGCTGTGAAAAAGGTCCATTGTCATTTGCCCGTGTGATTGTTTTCTGTGTGTATATTTGTGCCTGTGTGTGCTTTGTGAATGTAAGTCTTTGGTCTCTGTGTATTTGCAAGCCTTTGTGGATATTTCTATCGGTACACACACTGCTTACAGTACGTGTTTGTATACAGTAATTTGTGTGTGTGTGTGGTGTGTGTTGTGTGTGTGTGTGTGTGTGTTATTGTTACCAGTCGCTCAGACAGAGGCGTCTTGTCTCCATCGGGAAGATGCTGTTCCAGGGCCAGGACGATGCAGTTTGCAATGATGGTGGTGAGGATCATCCATTCAAACGGAGTGGAGCTGGAGTTAAGGCCAACATCACCAACAAGTAGCACACACACCTCATATACATGTACATTGTGATCAATCACACTGGAGAGATCAAGCAACCAGTCTGGCCAGGGACCTCTGTGACATTTTCCTCTCTCTCTTTCTCGCTCTCTGCATATATTTCTTATGCTCTCTAATGCCAAACTGTCCAATAAAGGTAAAATTGCATTAAAAAATTACTCTTGATCCACGAGTTATGACATTTTTAAAATTGCATTAAATAATTTGTCTGGCGTTCTCCCCAAAAGTCCATTTGATTCTCTTATGTTAAAGTAAAAAAAAAAAGTCTTATTCCTTTTGTTTTATTTGTTTTTGTATCTCTGGTTTTCCTGCAACGCACACTGTGACTCATCTGTATGTTTTAAGGTCTTTGTAAATACACTTAACTCTGTTTGAACTTTACAGTAGTTGACTTTCATGGAAACGCTTTATGTGTCGATGTGAGCACACCACTACACATTTCTGCTTCTGCAATCCTGCAGCCGGAAAATCAGAAGTGCAGCAATGACTGACATCATTAAATTTAAACTGAAAATGGTCAGTTTATCAAAGCTGTATGTGGGGGGAAAAATCCCTCTTCACACACACACACACACACACACACACAGGCTGACTCACAGAGGTCGCCTGGTGGAGCAGCCAGCTTTTCACAGCGCTCCATCCAGTCAAGTGCGTTTGTATGTGTTGTGTTGTGGTGTGTGTGTCCATGCCTGAGTAATGGCTGCTGGAGGGGCTGAGATGACTGGATACATCCAGACAGATCAAGCCTGTGCTTAATTGGCCAGTCATTATCCTGTTAGCTCGTATGTGTGTGTCTGTCTCCGCGTGTGTGTGCTGGGAGTGCATGTCTATTGTCGTGTTTACCAGATGCAACGTTGACATTGACACTATGGCCGGAGGACGGCCTCTGTGTGGTGTGTGTGTGTGTGTGTGAGGGATAAGAGGCTGCTGGTTGATGTAAGAGGATCAGACAGGTCAGTCTAAGGGGTACACACTACCAAGACGATTCTGAACTACACTGCACATGCTGGCTGGCGGACACAACTCACACACCTACTTGCAGATGCAGCGGTGGAAACAACACTTTGAACGTACCTGCATGCTGTTTAGGAGGAAAACTTGGGACAAAGGAATTCTGGCTTAGATTCCGAAAGTCTAGTTTCCTAATATTATGAAGTCTTGCCTATACAGCCCATAAAGCCAATTAAAAGGCCTGGTAATGCAAAGTCTTCCGCTATACATGAATCACACTCATTCACAGATGACTGCTGTGCGACTTGACTTTCTAAATACTTCACCGAGTTGAGATTTGAAAGCAAAGACATTCAGCTCTCACGTTTCAAAATTGTAGAATAAGCTGTTGTTAAAACTTTATTTTGGGGGATTTCAGCTTTAACAAAAAAAACACTAATAATACAATTTTGAAAGAAAAATTGTTGTCATTTCTTAAAATGACAGGAGAAGCACATTTCTACAGATTACCTCCCATTTGTTGTGACAAAAGATAACATTTGCTACTGTGATAACAGAGTTGTAAAATCCTGTCTGAGTATAAGCAGTGTTTTGGCATCTAATTAACCCTTACATTCATTAATCTGTACTCAAACTGGACTTCCTGGATGGTATTTCATGTCTCATTTGTACCTTAAACAATAGGTCCACTCCGATGTGGCCCCTGCACTGTTTTAACAAAGGGCTAGTTTTTTAACTTTTACTCGCCACCCAAAACAGCTGTGATTCTGGTTGCCAAATTAGCGTATCAATCCTGATATTAAGAAATAATGCAGTGGCTAATCTACTTAGTCATCTTGTTTATCCACTCTGTCATCATAGTGTTCTAAATAAGGAAAGCCACTTTGTCTAATCTTTTAACATTTAAGAGACATTTCTATATTAATATTTTTATTTTAAAAACCAAAAGTATACACTGGGTTGAAGATAGAAGAGGAGAAGCTGAAAGGTGTTAATCTCTCAGCAGATTTGTTTTCAGTTTCTCTAACTGTAAAAACCTTTAAGACCCTAAAACATCAAGTCAAGCCCATAAAGTTATAGATATTCAGTAAATTAGCCAGATTCTTAGCCAGTTTTCCTCTTTAATGTAATATCTGGAAGACAGTGCACTGCTAGCACAATGCTAACATGCTGCCATCCTGTGGGCAGACTCACTGTGACCAATTTGTGGTTCTTACTGCAGGATATATGTTACACTATATGCAAGAGTGGAGATGTTGTTAATACCTTCTACCCATGTTTGTTTTTTTTTCCAAATCACTGTAAGTAACCATAGTATGAGTAACTTACTGGATTTTGTTGCAAATCAATTTACAGTAACCTTATGCAACCCACAGATGGTGTGTGTGTGTGTGTGTGTGTCTTCAGACTACATGCTAGCCTGCTACACCATCTATTATTCAGCAGACACACACTCTGCTGGCGTAACAACCTGCTGAAAGCAGGAGGTAGCACTCCCTCTATGTGTGTGTGTGTGCGTGTGTGCTCCCATCTTTTCACCCCCCTGCAGTCCCTATAGCTATCGAGATCTTTCGCTCTTTCTTCCTGTTTTGTCCTCTTTCTATTTTTTTCTTTCTCAGTTTGTTTTGTCTTCTCCTCCATCCTATCGGTTTTCCTTTCTTCCTATCACGCTTTCTTACTCCCTCTTTCTCTTACTCCTTGCCTTTAACTTTCTTCCTCCAGCTGACTGCAAACTGTAAGTCAGCCCTTCTTTCTTCCTGTACTTCTTTTCTTCCTTCCATCCCTCATCGGCCTCCTCCAAATTCTATCTTCCTCTCTTCACTTCTCTTCACCCTATTCCTTCTTTTTGAAGGGGGAGAGAAAGATTATGTGAATCGGAAGCAATTAGAGAGCAGAAATTTTTGGCAACAGTATTATTGGTGAGCGCTGCAAAAACGCGTGTGTGTGTTTCTCTCTCGTTAATTAAAATGGCTTTCTGATGGCCACAAACAAGCCCTGCCCTGCCAAATAACACTGACCTCACATCTCTCTCTCTCTCTCTCCGATCTCTCTCTCACACACACACACACACACAAACTGTCTCTCCTCCTCCTTTCAGTCTTTATCTCTTCTTTCCACTGCAGGCGGCTACTCAAACCAAACAATTAAACACACACACACACAAATGAATGCATGTATGCAAACAGAATGAACGCATGCAAATGCCCACACACACACACACACACACACACAAGCAGACATTATGACACTGACACACTGATATGCGCAGGTAATGCTCTGGTACACACATACACACACACAGGGAGAAAGGAAATACCCACATCAGCAATATTTTGTTGCTCCATTGCCTATTATTGTGTATACACACACACACACACACACACACACACACACACACACACACTATGATTCTGCCAGCAAGTGTATTAACTTATTACAGAGAGAGAGAGAGATGATTGGTATTTATGCACATGCTCCATTTTTCAACCAACATTTCAAAATGGCTGCATACCACGATGAAGTAAGTGAGCAAAAACAGTCATTTTGTGATAATGGTGAAGTGACCCTTTAAGCATTAATGCTCTGTCCTTGTAAAAGTAAAACCGCAGTTACACAGACTCAAACAATCTGTGTTCCTGGGGATTTAGGATTAGCAAAGTCCGAGGTGAAACGTTTTTGCCTCAGTCCCTTAGAGTCCAGTTTGGACCCGGGAGAGGGGGCCTATTGACATGTCCTGACAGAGTTGCAGGATTGTTTCCGCCTGGTTTGGACGTTTCCTTTATGCCTGAGCGCCTGTCCTTAACACTTCCAAACCAATATACTGTTGTATTATGGATGTCGTATTTTTTCATACACACTCGTACTTTAATACCCTTTAATACAGTATTACCCGCCCATCTGTGCCTTATGACTGCTTCTATCTTAGTACAACAGACTTAATGCTATCATCCCGCACACACTTTAATCCCTTCACAGTACACCTTACACCTGTGCCTGCCTATATTCCTGCATCCCATGTCTGTATGTTATGTATTATAAGCAGTGCAATTACACCTAATATTATACCCATTCACAATTACCCTTATCTGTAAATACAAAAATAAAACTACCCCTACACCTACAGAGGATCCTGTAGGCTTATGTATGTACTGTATGTATCAGATCAAAGTGTAATTGAGAATTTGGAATTGTTTTTAAAGTTTCTATTGATCAAATTTGAAAATCGGACTACTTTAATTTCTCTTCATGCCTTGGGATGCCTGACAGGATGGGATCTGAGTGTTTCGGGGTTTTCTTTGCCTGTGAATATATGCAGATATACAGCACATAGCTTGTAAAAAGTATATTGTGGTACTTTTCCTAAAATAGGCTGGGACAAAAAAGCTGAATACACTAGCTTATTTAGCTAGCCTATTTTTAGCCATATGAGATGTGCATGATGTGCTAAATATATTATATTATAAATATATTTTACCTGCTATACACAACTACCTCCACACCTACACAAAGGTGCTCCTACATGCTTATAAAACTACCTGTCCCAGTGTTCCCAGTTTATGTTGCATGTGTATACCCACTGTGGTGAAAAACTTCCTCCATGAAGACAATAAACTATATACCTGTTAAAAAGTTCTCCTCTGTCTACACACTACAAGCCCAAACGTCCACAAAACTACCCACACCTATTTAAATATGCCTCCATCTAAGTCATCCTGTGAAAAATGTTGTTGTGTACCAGTTTGCTTGTCTGTGTGTGTGTGTGTGTGTAAACGCAGGCTGTGTATGTGTGTGTTCACTGAAGTGTGTTTGTGTGTGTGTGTTTTCAGCTGATGAGGCATTTTGGTGTGGCGCTGAGGCTGTGCTTTAGGGGAGGCGAGCCTGATGAGGGGGAGATTTTAAATCACACCAAATGAAGCTTTATCAAATAAATGAAACTGTGTAGCACTCGACTCAGCAAGAGTCGGTTCCTTTATGGGAGTGACGC